TTATTGCGTGGACGGGGTGTGAGGGATGAGGTGCGGGAGATGTGGGAGACACGGTTGAGGGCGTTCTCGACCACCGAGGAGGGGAAGTTACGGTCCTTGAAAAACGAGGACAACTGAGATGTACGGGAGTGGAATGCCTCATCCTGGGAGCAGATGCGGTGGAGGCGAAGGAATTGGGAATAGGGGATAGCATTTTTGCAGGAAGGTGGGTGGGAGGAGGAGTATTCTAGGTAGCTGTGGGAGTCGGTGGGCTTGAAATGAATATCGGTTTCGAGGTTTCCTCTCCACCTATCCTCTCCTCTATCCCTCTTCTATCCGCCTCCCACTCTCTCCCTATTTATTTCAAAACCCCCTTCCCCTCCCCCTTTTCTGATGAAGGGTCTAGGCCCGAAACGTCAGCCTCTCTGCTCCTATGATGCTGCTTGGCCTGCTGTGTTCATCCAGCCCTGCACCTTGTTGTCACTGTTCAGATGTGTTGCTTCTTCGTTCCTGCTGGGACTGAGTGTAATCCACACTGCGATTTTCATGCAGCCACTGAAATTACATTCTCAATAATCTTTTGGTTTACATTTCATTCTTTTAGAAACACATGTTGTACTTAAAAGTTGAAAATATCTGTAAATTATTTGGGATTATGATCCATTGTCATGTTATTGCTGTAGTGACAACACCACTTCCTCATATTATTTGTAATACATTAAAAATAAAAGATAAGCTGTTATTAATCTGTTCTTGGTGCTATTGGTGGCATATTGAAGATAAATACAAATCCTGTGTATTAGACTGGAAATTACTGCTGATGGTAACAATAGACAAATGATATCTTATTTGTTAATGCTTGACTTTAAATCATGGATACTGAATAATTTAGTGCAAACCTTAGCTCATCAACAAAGGATGGTATTTAAATGAGTTAAATGTTTGTCTACTGCTGTAGCTAAAACTGGTTTTGGAGGCTTTGGAACAAATTTTTACCTTGTCACCAGATGCTAAACGAATGCATTTCAACTGTTTGTAAAATAACTCACCCAACTTTCATTGACATTAATCTCAAGGGCAATGAGACCATCATAGGTGGCTGATCTATAAAACTAATTTTATCTCCAGGTGTAGTGTCTCCCCTCCCCCTACCGCATCCCAAAACCAACCCAGCTTGTCCCCGCCTCCCTAACCTGTCCTTCCTCCTACCTATCCCTTCCTCCCACCTCAAGCCCCACCCCCATCTCCTACCTACTAGCCTCATCCCGCCCCCTTAACCTGTCCATCCTCCCTGGACTGACCTATCCCCTCCCTAACTCCCCACCTACACTCACCTTTACTGGCTCCATCCCCGCCTCTTTGACCTGTCTGTCTCCTCTCCACCTATCTTCTCCTCTATCCATCTTCTATCCACCTCCCCCTCTCTCCCTATTTATTTCAGAACCCCCTTCCCCTTCCCCATTTCTGAAGAAGGGTCCAGGCCCGAAACGTCAGCTTTCCTGCTCCTCTGATGCTGCTTGGCCTGTTGTGTTCATCCAGCTCTACACCTTGTTATCTCTTTATCTCCAGGTGGCAAGTTGAAACTCGACTCCCAGTGGCTTGCTAAACACATTTATCACTTTTACATAAATGAAGAAGGTGAGTGTAATTCATAATTCTGTTCTTTTCCAAAGATAAACATAAAATGTAATTTGTGTAATGCTTACTTCCTTCTTTCAACAGGTCTTCTGACTAATCTGTCTCTTCTAAAATTCAATTTGAAATTTATTGCATTCTAGTAGATAGCATTGAATGAGCAATTATAAAATGCTGCACAGATCTCATTTTTCAAACTGTCACAACTGAACTAATTTGCAAAATGTGTCGAGAATTCAGCAACTCACCAATCTCAATTATTACAGAATGGCTATTCCCTAAGATCTAAAGTGACAAAATCAATGTATTTGGAAAAGTCATTTCTGGGTTGTCAGAATTGTAGAATCCCTTTGTTATGGAAGCAGGCCATTCAGCTCATTGAGTCCACACTGACCCTCCAAAGAACATCCCACCCAGACACATACCCTTACCCTATCCCTGTAACCCTGCATTTCTCATGGCTAATCCATCTAACCTGCACATCCCTAGGCACACTATGGGACAATTTAGCATGGCCAATCCACCTGCGCATCTTTGGACACACGCCCTAAAAAAATACATAGATTATGGAATTTAGTTAAGGGACACGCTGAATGCTGGAGCTAGGCTTTTATCGACACTGAGTAGCTTATTGAAAGGCTGCAGTCAAGCAAGAAATTTTAACTGTTCTTGGTGAATGGGAATAAAGTGAAAAAGCAGTTCCATTTTCAATTTTAGCACTGCTCATTTTGGTGGCAAATGAGGCACATGCCTGATTCTGATGAAAGCCTCAAGCGAAAAATTGTCGTCCTGTGCCATCCAAAAGCATTTAAACCAGGGTCTGAGCAGGAGTGCCAGGAACCCACTCCTCCACCATCTCTTTCATGTTGTAATAGAGACCTAACAGGTTGCCTGATATTTTTAACAATTAGAATCTCTACTGTACAGATAGAGGCCACTTGGCCCATCGACTCTGCACTGACCCTGTAAAGAGCATCCCACCCTATCCCTGTAACTTCACATTTACCATAGCTAACCCCCGTAGCTTCACAACCCTGGACACTGCAGGGTGATTTCACACGGCCATCTTTGGGTTTTGGGAGGAAACTCACGCTGACACACGGAGAATATGCAAACTCCACACAGACGGGAAGCAGATATCGAATCTGGGTCTCTGGCACTGTGAAGCAACAGTGCTGACCACTGAACCACAATTGTCCTTTTGTGCACTGAAAGTATTTTATGTCTGGGATAGTAATGGTACAGTAGCTGCCCTTCAGCAAATCTGTGACACACTTTTCTTCTAAAGAACTGTTTGCTGGGCTGTCACTTCCATCTGCACTGGTTCCAGCTCACCTGTGTGCAGACCTCACTGTAGTATGCATGCTAACCATGTTACTGATTTGGTCTATTGTTCTGAGAAAAATAAAACTAGGTGATATGCCTTTAGAAAAGACTGTTGACTTGCTATTGCTCCTATCTTTAGGAGAGATATGAAGTCCTCATTAAGTAATTAAACATCTTCCTGTAGAGCAGCTAGGTCACTGTTCACCTGTCCAGCCTCTTTTCTCCAGTTCTTTTCTAATTTCTATACTAAACTTCATCCATAAATTATCTATAACTAATTAGAACAAGTACAAAACAGTTCTGCACAGACTTTGCTGAAAGTATAGCGGAATGTTGACATTCCTCATTAGAGCTTCAATCCCATTGCTTTCTAATTTACTGAGGACCCAATATATTTGTGAAGGAAAGACACGTCTTTTGTTTTGCCAATGTACTTCATGAGCATTTTTCAAGGCCATTTTGACAGAGCAAGGAGCCCTGGCTGATTTCATTTGCCTGTTGTCCCTCTAACATTCTGCCCACTGACCCCTGTTGAAAAGTACACCTCCCCATTTAGGATACCGCCTTACGAAGACAGCAGGCTCACTTTCTATACCCTTCTCGAATGATGAGCTGCCTAAAAGCAGGGCGATTATCGTGGGTAGCTTCTCTGCTTTACTTGGGTGAGATTTGGCCTTGAAAATTGGTCAACTGTTTTGCCAATGCCATTGGACGGACAGAACTGACCCATCATCCGTCCCTATAGAATCAACCCATTGTGTCCTCAAACTAATATCTCTGTAAAGCTCATTGTCTATCTGGCTATTTGTGCTGTTTAAAATATATTGGTGGTGTTGAATAGCAAATTGACTTGCCCTTCAGAAAATAAGAGTGAACAACCTTTTTGAGATACTGTATTTTGGTATGAAATACTTTGTTCTTTTACTATAACGTGCTTTTTGATACAAACATTAATACCCTATTGCTTTCTCCCATCTATTTTGAATTGTGCCACTCTTCCATTTGCTCTACTCTGTAATATTGCTTCACTGCGTTGTGCTGATGTAGGTCACGAGGTTATATCTTGTTTAAATAACTTCGCTCCTGGGGATTAGTTTAAAGACTTTGGGACCTCTGGTTTCAGATTCAGAGGGAAACTCCAGTCAGTTTTGTACTTGTTTTTCAAGTGGCAACGTTCGGCAACAATTTTGGGTGTGAATTAATGTTGAGACTGGGGTTAATAACATAATGAACTCATCCAATGAGCGTCTGAGTTTCCAATTCAGGAAACCTCAGATTCTATCCTCAACTGTGCTGAATTAACACATTAAACTGTAATGGCAGTACAAGTAATATAATTGGTCCATTCTCCTTGTTTAATGGCAGAATAATCAGCTAGTATTCCTTCTCATCAGTGAAGCCTGACATAGTTGAATATCAGCTGCACATTCCAATGCTCACACCACAGGAGGAGGAATGGCATATGTGAGACCATAATCTATCAATGAGTCAACACTATTAGGAGGGAAGGGGAAGGAAGTTTTAAAATAATTTTTCTAAGAGGATGACAAAAGGATATTCAGAATCAAGTGTTTTTGCTGATTTCTGTTTAAATTCTCCATGGTTACAGTTCTTCGCTTAATGTACATGGGCAAAACCATGAATACAAATCGGAAATCTGCTGAAGTGCCTACAGAACAAGAACTTCTTTGTAACAGGCTTGTGATGGAACAATTTCTAGTTGTTAGTGGTTTAATTTAATGAAAGTGATTCCCAGCATCAAAGACTCTCTAGAAACACATTCTTGTAAGGATTTTAATGGCTGTTGCAAAACAAACATTAAATCCCATGCTTTTATAGCAGCTGAAAGACTTAATTTCTTGACAGATTTATGGATTCTACACTAAAAGCTATAAAATCAGATTTACCTCTTTGGACAGGTCATGCAAGTTATCAATTTCTTGAAATTAAAATCAACATGATCTATGTCAGTTGTTCCAGCCCAAAGTGTGTTCAATTGCTTTTTGAATTATTCAAAGTGCAACATAAATAACAAAGATATGTTGTGTGATGCCAGAAACAAGTGGACTTTTTTGTTTCAGATTGGAGGACCTGGATCTGGAAGTTAAAACCAACAAAATTGCGATTCTATGTTTAACTGGAGCAAGCTGGACTATTTGTGCGCAACATCCTTGAAAAAGGTAGATTGCCTATTAATATATTAACTCAATTAGAACAGATTTTTTTCAGCATAATTTTAAATTCAGTTGTACATTCAATGACTTTGAGGGCTTCCTGAAATATGCCATTGAAACCAAAGCAAGAAAACAACAGCAGCTGGAAGGAGTTGATTAAAACTCATGGAAAATCTGCAATAAATATTCAGTACTCACAGCTGCTTCCTGACCTAATAGTGCAAAGGATAGTTCACTATACTTTTGCCAAAAGTTTACCTCTACACCTTGAGAATCAGGATGGGTGGCACTTTGGTTGTTGTACTGGATGAGTTGACAATACGACTAACATCCGCAGTGGTAGTAGCAACCTGCTGTTTACCAAATTGAAGCTGGACAACAGGGTGGAAGCAACAGAGGAAACACTTCTAGAAGACACTACCAGTGGTGAGTTTGATTCTGTATTCTGGTGATAGCCAAAAGTTTATTCATCAGAATCGTGGCTGGCAATTCTGTGAATTTCACCCGCAATGATGCCTGTTAAAATGAGCAATTGTACAAGTTTGCACCTTTGACTCACTTCCCACAAGTCATTGACTGCACATGTATTGATTTACTCATCCTGGATCAATCAGGAGTATTTATGATGCCCAACCCCAACTATATGGCTTCAACCCTATCAACTCGCATCTGGTCTGTATCCACAAAAAGATGGATACCAAATTCTTGGTAGCTGTACCATTTTTGTCTTGCGGTGATCCGAGCTCCCTGATCTCCCCAAACTTGCAAGCATTCTTAGAAAGTGTCTGCTAGGAGACATGGGACACTCACTTCAAATTTTATTCATGGCATCCTTCAGAATCTCAACCTCTAAGCCCAAATTGCTGAAGGTGCATTTTAATTGTTTGATTACATCTAGAGGCAAGCTTTAGTATGCACTAATGAAGGTATACTGAATAGTTATGGTGTTTGCCCCAACATTGTATCAGATTTGGATCATCAGTGAGAAGCAAATAGTGGAACATTTTCTGTCAATAATTACAAGAAGCGTCAATGATGATCAGAGCAATGTAGAATCAGATGCTATCTGGGATGGCATGAATGTTTTTATACTGTTGTTACTGCTAGATTCAATTGGGTTGCACTTATATCTGGACTATATGCAATGGCTACTTTTTCCACTTTCCCAGACAGTTGTCTGATACATTGAGCATTTGCCCCAGTGCAAGAAAACCCTTCTGTTTTGCTGTTGGGAGGCAGTAATTTAAGGCTTATTTTCATTCTTGGTTGGAGAATGGAGATTACAATGAACCTTTACAATTTTATTGTTGGGACTTTGTAAACATCTTTGGAAATCCCAAAAACACACAATGTGGATAGCAGGGTCAGTTTGCTTGACCTTTTGGACCAATTACAAACATTTAACTGTTAACAAAACCCCTAAAAATGTGTGGCTCAGGCACACATCCAATCACTTTGAAGTGTCCTTTCTAAATCATATGATAAACTGAAAGCTTTTATTTAATAATGGTACTTTATCATAATAAAAGCTAAGTGTCACTAGTTGCCAGCTTTACTCCGGATATAAATTTATTTAAGGTTGATAGTTTTGTGCAATGTATTTATTGCCATTGGCACTGTTTACTTTGTACTTAGTGTACATTACCATTCCTTTGAAAGATCTAAGCTATCATTTTCTTTCATCATGTAGCACTGACAAATTTAGTACTGTGAAAGCCTGTTAAGATTTATCATTTCAGCTGGCATGAAAATGATATCTGGCTTGGTGCATTTACAGCACTGCCTGTACAATTACCTTTCCTGACAAGGAACCACTATCTTATTTTTTATTTCATTATTTTATGCCTTTGTCTTATTCTTGATCCTACTGTTCATTGGGATAAATTTATATGAGTTCACATTTTAAACAGTAAAGGTGTACTTCATAAAACTGTTTTTTTTTTAAATTGACCTGCCCAGAAATGTTATGACACACCAATATGGCAGGTGGGACTTGAACACAGACCATCTGACCCAAAGGTAGGGACACTACCACTGCATTTGGAAGACCCCAATGTGTTATTCGGCTTATTAATTAGAATTGTTTGTATTCTTGAAATGCTTTCAGTTTGAGATATGTTGGATTAGAGTTCTACAGAATGTGCCCCTGAAATTCTCTGTTTAAATTGGTTAAATTTAGTCATTCAGTGATACAAAACTTGAGTTGTGTTGGAAAAAAGACACAGTTTGTCAGATATTTTGAATGCAGGATGAAAAGCTTCAACAAAATGCAACTTTTTCAGCAATAGATTATGTTGCAAAGCTGTTGCTAATAACAATGAAGAAAAAGTATTTGATTTAATATTTGAATATCCCTCTTCACCTAACTCGTTATTTTGCTTAAATTCAGAATGGGGGGATTGGAAGAAAGCCAATGCAGTTATGTCTTATATGGAGTCAGACAAAGACCAGAAGGGACCATTTTTTGTTTTAACTAATTCAAGGGATGTGGTCAACGCTGACTGGACCAGCATTTATTGTGCACCCCTAGTTGTCCTTGAGAAGGGGTAAAGAGCTGTCTTCTTGAACTGTTGCAATCCATGGTGTAGGTAGACCAACAATACCATTAAGAAAGAAGTTCCAGGATTTTGACCCAGTGATAATGAAGGAACAACTTTGGTGAGAGGCTTGGCAGGGAACTTAGGTGGTTATGTTCCCATGTATGCTGCTGCTGTCCATGTTCTTCTGAATGGTAGTGGTTGTGGGTTTGGAAGGTGCTGCCTAAGGAGTATTAGTGAATTTCTCTAGTGCATCTTGTGGATGGCACACTCTGCTGCTACTGAGAGTCAGTAATGGGGGGAGTGAATGTGGAAATGGTGCCAATCAAGCTGTCTGCTTTGTCCTAGATATTGTCCAGCTTCTTGAATGTTGTTGCAGCTGCACTTATTTAGGCTAGTGGGGATCATTCAATCACACTAAGATCTTGTACTTTGCAGATGTTGGTCAGATTTTGGGGAGTCAGAAGATGAGTTTCTCACTGCAGAATTGCTAGCCTCTGATCTGCTCTTGTAGCCACAGTATTTATATGGTGAGTCCAGAGCAACTATTCTGAAATGCAGGACTGATGTAAAACAAAATGATGTGACGATACAATTCCTTGTGCCATACGTTTAGTGCTTCTGTGTGCAGTCCAAGGTTTCAGTTAATGTATTAATTTCTCTAGCCCAGTAAGTAACCAAGCAGGCATATCAGGTGTAGTGTAACACTTTAAATTCAATATAATTCAGTTGTGGACTCTGTAGTTAACAAAAGACTGTTAGAACTATCATTGTGAAGTACAAAAAAAATCAGTCATGTAGTAAATAAAAAATATACTAAAAATAATGAAAACTAAAATGACTAAAAAAGAATTTAGAAAGACTCAACTTAAATGAAGGGGCCAGATCTTCGGCTCATTTATACCTCTGGCAAATTGCTGTTTATTTATTTCCATACACTGAGGAAACATTATTCTCACAATAAGAACTGTGATTCATTCATATTTTAGTTAAATATTGATTGAAGGAGAAAAGTTGACTCGACACCCTTAAATAAACCATTAATTATTTTGGTTTTCTGAGTATTCAGGTCAGAGTAATATGCAGTAATGCGCACCTCAGTGAAATGGGCTACATTGGCCCTGTAGAAAGCGCAATGCAGGAGATAACAGAACTATACCAGTGAAGAATATTCAGTTTCTTGGAAATGTTACAAGAACAGGGGCTGTATTCTCTTGATAGTGTTAAGAAAAGAATCACAGAATTGCGGAACATTATAGAAAGAGGTCATTTGAGCTACCCAATCTGGTTCAGTATTTTTGTCTGAATGAACTTCCTATTCTAGTCTTATTTTCTGCTTGTTCTCAATGCTGCTTAATATTATTCTTTTTCAAGCAGCTATCTCATTTCTTTTCAAAACAATTAATCAACTCTTCTTCAATATTTGCTTGTGGCAGAGAATTCTACCTTTCAAACATTTTGTGGTGAAATTGTCTTTGTGTTCCAGAATAATGGTACCATTAGGTTTAAACTTACTAACCAATCCATGCCTAATGTCAGTCTAATGCTGGTTCTTAATTTTAAGAAGGCTAACTCTGAAAAAAAAATGGCTGAAGATCTGGCAAAAGTTAGCTCCTGTTATAAAGGAAATTGGATGCTGAGAACAAATGGTTTCAGTTTAAAACTATTCTCAACAAATTGTAGCCATGTATGTCTCATGGTTGAAAGAGAGCTACATGTTAAAAACAAAATCACTCCATTTAATGTGGAAGCTACCAAAGATAACTTGATTGAAATGGAAGGTTTTCTAGACACACTGAAGGCATTTAACTCACAGAAAAACAATGGAGACATATATACAAATTTGGAAAACAAAAGCATCTAGAAGATTAGCCAAGACATTGCTGGGAAAAGGCAACATTCAAAGCCATCTGGATGGGTACATGAATAGGAAGGGTTTAGAGGGATATGGACAAAATGCTGACAAATAGGACTAGGTCAGATTGGGATGTCTGGTTGGTGCGGATGAGTTGAACCAAAGGGTTCAATTTCTGTGTAATGTAACTCTACGGCTCACAGTTGTGGCATTGACAACAAAATATTTTTAGCTACTTCAGAAATCAAAAGATCATTATAGACTGTAAAGGCCCACTAAAGGATGCTGAGGACAGATTCAAACTGATTCTTAGGTTATGACAGCACTCCTCAATAATGACTTTGCATCAGCCTACATTTCCTTAGATGATGATTACATTCCAAATGAGGGATATGCAGCATTACCAGTATATTAAAATAGGTAATGAAGTCATCTTGAATACACTAAGAAACCTCCAAATTGTGCCGGTTTTAGTTTTAGTTTTAATATTCAACTGAGAGTGATCAAGGAGGTGGTCCAGGTGCTTATGAGACATTTGCTCTTCAATGGGGTTTTGATAGAGTCAGAGGTTCCCTTAGACTGGAAGCTAGTTCATATAATTGCTTTTTTCAAAA